GATGCTGGCGGGGATATAGAAGATGTTGGGATTGCGGGGTGTGGCATGTGGCAAGTGTACGCGGACGGTGAAATGTTGGCTCTGTTGAAGGCAATAAAATGAAATTACAACTTAATTGTCATAAATAATTCAAGAGATTCCTTGCGAGCAAAGAACGCCAGAGTCAAAAACTGTGCGTTGCGAGCGAAATCAGAGCGACCCGCAAATAACCCGCCTGCGTCACTCTCTCCCCCCCGTCTCCGCTTATCACTTCAACTACAAAACCCCCGCCACCAATAAGTGTCCACCTTCTTCTGCATCGCTTAACAAACATTTTAAAGCCAGCTGCTACTTTAAGTAAGGATTTCGTGCACGGCAGCTTCAGGAGCAATATTATGTGTTTTATTATTAACAAAGTTAATCCCCTGACCTAGTTAAGTCCACACACACAGACACGCACACACACAAACAAACCCATACACAAACAAACACACGTACAAACAAGCAAACACACGCTGAATTTACACGAATAAGCTGATACGAAGCCGCTGAAATGTTGGTGCGGTTGGCCACAGACCGACCGCATGAGGCGTTAATAAAATATTAGGAGTGCTCCAAAAATAAATAACTGATTACTGCAACCAATCCGCAGTCGCGGACAAAAGTCAAGTGGAATTGATTCTATTTGATTGCAGCTTAAAATCGGTCTAACAAGAAACTGCGGTCAGATAATCTATTTGTGGCAATTTCGAAATTGATTTGCAAGCCAATCAACATCAAACATTATTTCCCATATGCCTCATCTAATATGTTATTCTGCTTTGAATATTCGAATATTCGTGTGGATGTTGCATATTTCTCTATGACATATTCTTCAATTATGCAGAGAATATTCTTGAGGCTCTTTCCAAACAAACAACAAGTAAATAATGGTAAATTAGCAAAATGAGGAAAGTTCCACAACAATCATACACACACACACACAAGCACACACACACACAAACGCATATACACTCAACCGCCCACATGCTCAAAGGCTCACAATTTGGGGGGCATGGCTGGTCCTGATTGCCAGTTAAGAATGTGCAAACAAACAAACAAAACGTCGCGACGGCAGGGTCTGATTGTGATTGTTAAGAGACGGGACAAGGTCGGGGACGGGAACGGGGACAGCGACAGAGGCAGGGAGAGGGCCAGGACTGGAGCCATACAAATGGTAAAGGGCAAGAAAATGCTTACGAAAACAAAAAGAAAGTATAACATGTGTTCGATGCCGCTTCGAACCGCTACAGTTGCGAGTCTGCTAACGGGAACATCATATTTCTATGCCCTTTTTGCCAATAAACTGTTTTGCGAGAGACGATAGACGGCTGCCATCCAACACAGTAGGCCTTTAAAAAGTAACACTCTGTTGAGCAAACAATCGAACAATTTATTTTGGTTTAATAATAATAAAGGAGACAAAATGGGAAACAACAAGCGAGCAGCGCGCAAAAGTGCAAGGCAAGTGAAAACCGGATAAATGTATAAATGCCCGCCAGACATCGAAGTTGACTTGTTTACCCTTAACGTATATGCTGTAAAAAAATGAAAAAAGAAAATTCATGAAAATAATGTAAATAAACTCTTTCAGAGATGTACAGCGAAAGAAAAATAATACAGAAGAAAACAAAATTGTAATAATACAAGTGCGAACGTTATAAAAGTTGAGATAAGGTGTGGCCAAATATTAATTACTTTAAAATTAAAGGGTGAAAAAAACATTTTTAGTCAAATTACATTTTGAATGTTCTCTTATTTGAAATCCAAACAGAATTAAATATAATATTATATTATTTAATTTTCCTTGTTAACAATCCTTACGATGCTGAGAGATAAGTGAATCTGGATGGATCAACTCGACTTTAAGAGGCATACATAAATTTCTTTATGTATTTAATACGCCTTATTCCTTTACTTTTTCATTTATGATTGCAGGGTATAAAAATACTTGTATATAAAAGTCACATATACATACAGAAACACTGTGCTGCAGTTGAATAATATGACGAAAAAAACACAAACAAAAAAGAAATTTGTATCAGTTTTAAATTTTAAAATGTTATAATAAATTATGCTGACATGAAAAGGAAGTGAATGTAACCCAATAAACGGAGAATCAGTGACAGATCTGTCAATCAAATCACTCGACTGTGCTATATTTTCTACCACATATCGTTGAGAGTGCAGACAGGCTTTCAACATGTAGAATAGGTTGGCTTATGGTTGAACATGCAAATACGCCCAAGTAGGATATATTTTTTATATATAAATTTCAATCATTGTAAATCTCTGTATCGCCTCGGCTTTGATGCTGCGCTTAATGTAGGCATATAAATTATCTCCTTCGGCCAGTTACAAAAAAATGCACAACTTTAGTTTTTCATTTTCAGCATGTACAGCAACTGTAGAAAATTAAATTAAGATTAAAATAAAATGTATGGACTATACTGTGAAGTATTCATTAAATTATATATTTTTATGAAAAAAAAAGATTAAAAAAAATTCAATTTGAAATTTAAAACAAATATCAAGCCTAATTTCCTTTCGGGGAAATGCTTCGTCATATTCGTTTTGGTGTCCTCGCATCCTGATGTGAGGGCATTTTAATTATTCTATTTGAGTACTCATTTAAACTGTTTACATAATCACTCAAAGGTATCCAAGGATTTACATTAAAGCTTCAATGCTCTTAGAGATATTGGCAGCCCGGATGTCAACTTTTTCCCAATCGCTTTGCTTCTCACAAATCGGATCAGAAGCGTACCCGGACTCGTTAATCCGGTTGAGCGATTATTAACTGCTTTTTGTGATATGGGCTAGTTAAAAACAACTCGTAAGATTATTCATCAAACTTTGAATACAAGCTGAATTTTTTGTTATTTGCAAGTTGCGATTTACCTGCAGATTGCTTGTCTTCTATTCGGTAAAAGATTTGAGAGGAAGCCATTTATAATTAAGGTAAAGTTGCTGAAAATCTAACCACGTAATTAACCAGAGATGAAATTTCTCCGATGACCAGATATTTTTGGTTTAGCAGCCATCCTCAAATTTGCTGCTGGGTACTCTCTCCTCTTCTGCGATAAACTTGCGATAATTTAATTACACGCGCAACTCGAAACTGATGCTGACTGCGATAAAATCAAGCGTGGCTGGAAGAGCGAGGGGGGGGGGGGGGGGAATGTATTGTGTTGGAGATTGGATACTGTGACAGCGACAGTGACAGAGACATGACTGAGAGTGCCTCGAGTGGCAGTGCCAGAGCGACTGGACTCTGGTAAGTGGCAGCAATGTAAATTACGCGTATTAATATCAATTTATAATCCCAATCCAAAAACCGAACCGAAAAAAAGAAAATAAAAGATATAAAAATTGCACAGTCAGTATGCCGACGATGATACTGCAAATCCGTGATAAATCCTTAAAAATTACTTTTAATTTCGCAACCAAGAATGCAAAGCCTCGAATTGATGCCACAGCCAGACGACAGGCAGTCCTCGTCCTGCTGCACTGTGCACAGTGAGACTGAGATTGAGAGAGCCAGGGAGCCACAGAGCCACAGAGAGAGGAGCCATCCAGCTAACCATTTACCCAATTGACTTAGCCAGCTATCTGCTATCAGCTATCTGCTACAGTGTAGAGGGCCGAATCTAGATTAAAATAAGTCGAGCGATGAAAATAGATTACGCGCGTATTTTGCGAATGATGCGGCCGGGCAGGGTAATGCTGAAGAAGAAGCAGAAGCAGAAGCAAAATTCGATGTAGACGCCTGCGGCGCCGTCGTTGTCGTCGTCGTAGCCAGCGACGTCAGCAGAGGCGTGAAGAATTCCCCCCAATTTAATTTGAGTTTTCCGCCGTTGCCGTCCCTTTGTTTGATTAGTCGATTTTGTGGACTTTGGCGCTAATTGTGCACATCGCAAACGCACACACATACACACACACACACAACACGCACTAAAGTGTGTGTGTGTGTGTGGAATTGCATATATGTAACAAATTTGTTAAAGTGCGTAGGCAAAGGGGGCAAAATTCGCAGGACCAATGCCGCATCCGCTTATGCTAATCAATTCGAGTTGGCTAACACACATTCAAAAACACACACACGCACTCTTGTGCGCGTTAACAGTGAACCATTCTGTTGCCGTTATTTTTGCAATATTTGCATAATTGCTTTTGTTGCTTTCGTTTTGGTCGGCTTTGGCATGATGATGCTCGATGCTCGATGCTCGTTGCTGGGTGCTATGTACTGGGTGCTGAGGGAAGCATCAGTGCCTCGCTGCCTCGATGCTCGGCGTGTGCCAAATATTTACACATCGTTCCCCACCGTGGCAGGCATCAGGCCAGCTAGCAGCCAGCAGCCAGCAATAGTCAGCCAACAACTGTAGCTGTGTTGCCGTCTCAGTCAGTCAGAGTGTGGTCGCGCAGTTTTTGGCCAATTTCACAAGTTGCACTCGTGCTGCCGTTGTTGGCATACACATTAACATATTATAATTAGCACGTTTCCACTGGGCCGGGTAGCATATATTTTATACGCATTGCACAAATAACACGGCAAAGGAGGCGCACATGGTTTTAGTGGCAGCGGCAGTTGCCGCAATGCGATTATTGGCAGCATTTTGAGACGGCTCTGGCACGGGGTACACGGGGTACACGGGGCGCAGCGATAGGCACGGATACGGATACGGAGACAAAGACAGAGACAGAGACGGGCTCTTACGGCGTTTTGGCGCTCCACTTTTTGAAATCGCGACCGCAACGAGTTACTCTGCCAAATGCGCCGAACATTCACGAGTTTTGGCATCCCCGGCGCGACGACAGCCATTGGCGATGGCCTTCGAACGTGTCAACAGCATCTGTGGCTATGCTGATGCTGGTGCTGATGCTGATGCTGATGTCACGCCAACAGCCAACATCAGCAGCAGCAGCAGAAATATAAGAAAAGGCAGAAGCAGAAGCAGTACCAGACGACACTCGACACTTACTGAGTGAACAAATTGCGGTGGGGGTGGTGTTGGGCGCCCATTCTGAGCACATTAAAAGAGAAGTTCAGCAGGCGCGTGTGTCGATGTTTACGTATCCACTGGTCCCGTTAGACTGGCGCGCTCGACGGCCGAACAGGCGCCATCAAGCGCACGAGAATAGCAGCAGAGTACCAGCTGAGCGCTCTTTCACTTTCTCTCTCTGCCTCTCTCTCTCTCTTTCTCTGTGCATCGAGAGTAAAGTGCTTTCAACCCTCAGCAACAGCAACAATAACCACAATAAAAGCAGCGACAACATGTTGAAAGAGTTTCTTGTGATCCAGGAGTGAAAATAAGAGATCAGCTAACTGATAAGCATTAAGCAACAAAAGACGAGACGATTTGTAACTAAATACCAAGGTTCATCGACTGACAGTTTTATTGTTATAGTGAAAGGTTGCTGGCCACCTGAAACCTAGAAAATCACAATGAGTCTGAGTTTCATATAGTTTTTTTATTGGAAATGTTGAGATTTTTTCTACAATATCATACACAAATACAAATATACGCATATTTATATAAAAAAAAAAGATTTAGATATAATACGCAGTATATGCACATATGTAGATAACGTTGCGTTGATTACATAAAAAAAAAGTGTAATTCGGATCGCGCTCCTATATCTAACTTATACTATATGAAATATTTTACTAGTGCCACATGCATGTTTACATGTCAGCGCCCTCGACAGCAGTAAATGTTGCTAGCAACATGTTGCGACAAACAACCGCTGAGAAATGTGAAAGAGCGAACGTCAGAGGCGAGAGTGAGAGAACTCTTATACAAAAATGCGCAACACATGCGTTAACGGTCATTCTTGCAAGCCACACATATACCGTTGCTTTGTGGACCTAATTTGATTCTAATTTATGTAACTATGTATTGTCAACAATAGAGGACCTACTCGAAGTCCTTATGACTGTTTTATGCTTGCGCCAATTGTTTTCCTTTTAGTTCGTCATATGCATAAATAGTCGATTTCAGAGCTTAAGCTGGATTTGCAGAAGTTACCTTCAACGCAACCTGCAAATTGAAATCCAGCAAACAAAAGGTGTTTGTCGTTTTCTGTTGTATATATGCATATTTGCTCCCATTCATTGTGGTTATACAAACACTGTTGATGATAAATGTTGCTTAAGAGCGAAGAAAGAACCATTTAATTTATGTCTTCTTAATACTTACAATGTTTATAAGCATCATAGGTTTAAAGGCATCCCAAGTAAGTAGTTACATATGGTTGGGATAAGATTAGGCGTAAATTTTTATGATACACATGTATGAATGGGATGATTCAATATCAAACATGTCCTAAGGCTGTGAAGTTCGGACCACTCAATATAAATGATATTAGTCTTTGTTTAAAAAATGATTGCCTACCAGAGAGGACTACTTACGCACACTCAGGTCACCGATGTCAAGTATATAAATATATATATATGTGTGTGTGTGAGTGTGTGTAGTGTAAGTGAATATGTTAAGTGCGGACGGGACGAGTCGGGACGAGAAGACTTGAGAAAATGAAATGAAAGCATGTCTAAGCAGCAGATTCTCATGACAATCAAACGCTCTCGGGCATTTGCATAAAACCAAGATAAATAAATTCCACATGCAGACGGACAGTGTCAGACGCAGATCGACCGGTTAAAGGTTAACATTCTCGTCCGGCGTACAGCGTACAGCGTACGGTGTACGGTATTCGACGTACGTCCACACGTTATATATATATACATATATAAATATGTTGAACCTGAGGGCAGAGTCCGCAGTCTATTTGTTTGTGTCGTTGGCTCGATGAGCATCAGTAAATCGATGCTTGGCTATCTCTGATTGAAATTTCACTCTTCGGAATATCCGAATGGCCAGCAATCCTGGTTCCGTAAAGTCTGAACGTCGGATTTTAATTGGGATTGACCATTGATTTTACCATATGTTGCCCAGATTGGGTGCAATTTTAATGAAATGTATTTATTTGCTCCTCAAATGTACTTTAATATTTATGTATGCATGCTACTGAAGGTCAAACGGCACACCGTGACCCAGTTAAGTAGATGTGTGCCTCTATAATCGAAAGCAACTGTGGGATAAGTGAATCGGAATGTAACACTTTGAGTACTCAATAGTACTCAATTGCATCGAATGATTTCAAATGTTTAAATGCAAATGAATATTCCGCACCAGGTACCTATTTAAATGCCCATTTTGAATAAATTATGTTTGGTAAACAATTGTACGTGGGCCGTACACGTTGTTCAATTCGGCTCATTCCAGCAAGCCGCACTCGGCTATCTGTGGCGCCACCGTTGCCGTTGAGGACGCGACGCTTATCTTGGTGATGCGGAAATTGCGGTTGAGTTCACGCTTAAAACTTTGTTGCCAACTGATTATCGCTGACAAGCCGTGAGCTCGTGCTCTTGCTACAATAAGTTGCAAGCATAGCTTGAATGCGTGATGGTCTGATGGTGTAACGTTGTCGGTGTGAGATTGAGTGAGTGGGTGAGTGAGTGAGTGTGACTGTCGGCATTGGCATGAGTAACCCAAATTGCGCACAACATTTGCTGTCTACTGTCAGAGGACGACAAAATCAGGCAGTCAACTCTTTGCTAGAGCAGCAGTGTCAAAGTCAGCTCGACAGTTTGGCGATAATTAATCAAGACCATCTGCATTCAGAGGGCGTAAAAATGAAATGTCACAATAAAACCATTTGCGAGTCCTTTTGGTATGGACATGGGCACATGGACACATGGACACATGGACACATGCACACACAGACCCAACACTAGCGACAATTAGCTTTTGTCAGAGGCCATGACAAACGGATTATATAAACGCCTCAATCATTCTGGCACAACAGACCCGCGACAAGAAGTCATGGCAACACCTCCCTAGCCAACTGACAAACGGCTAAATAAACGATATACACAGTGAGAAAGATGTGTGAAAGATCGTATACCAAATATGGTAAGACTAAATTCATTTCTTAAAGCAGCACATATCTATGAAATGGCACAAGAACTGTTTTGAATGACAAAGATTTATTATGCATTTTCATACATCATTTTATGTTTGTAATTCCCCTATATGTCATTCGATTTCCATTAACTTTCAACTTAAATTGAGCGTATATCAAAAGTTTATTCTCAAACTACAATTTCATAATGCCAAGTGCTTTTAGTGTATATATATATATATATATATATATATGTATGTATGCATATGTATAGTACACAGCATTCAGACAACTGTTGGTCTGTTGGTCGTTGCGTAAATGATGAATCCCCACACGAACTTTGGCCTCGCAGACTGCTCGGGGCGCGACACTTGTAAAGCTGTCACAACATTAATCAAATCGAGAGTGCAAAACAAATGCAAGCCATAAATTTACAGTTCAGTCGCCAGGCGGCAATATTGTGGTCCTTGCGGCTGCCCAGTGAAAGTGCCGGCAAAAGTGTGGCTCGATAAACCAGCCTGAAGCTCCACATCTGAACTTATGGCCTGAACTTGTGATAAATATAGTCGAGTGCATACCGAATCGTTTATCCAGCTGAAATCACAGGTAGGACTTATTTGCCTGTTTTAGTGGCTGCAACAAAACGTTGCATGTTTACTATACAAACGTTTTTACGTACATATTGGATGTGTGATTGTGTGAATGTGCCTACAGCAAATTGAGAAAACCGATTGCGATCGGGCCATTGAGTCGCAAGGACATTTGACTTTCCGGTTGTTGAGCAACTCGCTTAATGACGCAATGTCGTTGGCAATGATAATGATACCCGCCGTCGGCATCCGAGTTGACAGCGCCACATCCCCATCTACATTTGCACCTATGACTGTGGAATACGATACTGCACAGTGACAAGCGCGGCATGAAATTGGGCTTAGTCTCAGGACTGAGTCTGAGTATGACCGACACTAACAGGCAACTCGCTCCAACTGGCAAAAACAAAGCCAGTAAAAATGTTAAATTCGAGTGAGCTCGATTACGAGATATTCTGAATCCAGTTGGTAAATATACTCTAGTTAAAAGTTTTGTCACATTTCTTACTGCCGGCACAGATAATGAAGAGTGGAACAAAAAAATTAGGGCAGCGCATAGGTTGATTCACAAGCCCGAACTGAAATCACCGATATATATATATATATATATGTATGCACATTTGTTGAAAGTCGGTGATTTCAGTTCGGGCTTGTGAATCAACCTATGCGCTATATATATATATATATACGATAACGAGACGCTGCAGAGTAAAAACATATATTTTAGCTAACTTTGACTATTATAACTAAGCTGACAATTTATTGTTTGCTTAGTGCTATTATGCTATTTACCTCACATTAAATTTGCGAATAGGGTTTGGTAGGGTCTGGATAAAATTTGTCCTCTTGATTCATAATATATCAATGTATATAATCTGTAAATTGTATGCCTCTGCCTTTATTGTTATCGGAAGTTGATATGCATCAATATTAGCAAAATTCCAGCAGCTACCGATAAAATTAACTATACTTGGTCTGTGCGGGGTATTCGAGAGACTACGTTACAAATTTGATGTCTCCAGCCCATATAGTCCCTGAGATTTATAGACTGTTGTTGGCGGATGTTGATTCAGATATAGAATATATACATATACCTCATAGTTGCTTCCTTCTGCCCTTTCACAAAATTGTTAAGCCCCCCTTTTAGCCATTTTTAATGGGTTAAGGGTATAAAAAGCTTCTTCCGAAATGGACGCGCATTGTCCTGAAAAATAAACAAATGTATTTAGCCATTGTGCATAAAGTCCGAAAAAAAAGACAATTCGGAAAGTGCGAAAAAGAGAAAGAGGCTCATGTACCTGCTACACCGTGACATAATCGACAAATAAATTATGTTTACTTTAACGTTTTTACAATTTGTACCAATAAAGTAAACAACGTGAACATTGTTCGTGTTCATGTACGAGTCATATGAATTGTTAACGATAAGTCCCAACACATACAAATCGACATGGCTAACAGAGTGGGTAAATATTTCACAATTTACATGCATTGACTCGCTTACGCA